GTTTGTAAATAATTTATTTTTAATTTGCAATCTGTTAAAAAATTAAAATTTAAAAAATAGGATAGATATACAGCTACTGTCACTTAATTCAATGAGAAGAAAGAGGTGTACTAATAGTGTTTAGACAGGATATCCTGCCTGCTTCTTGTACTATGGTTAACCACTAAGAAGATAACAATGTACAATGTATTGATTATCGAAACTATCCTATTAATCAGCTTTGAAACTGTCTCATTCATATTTATTTCTTAATAAAATTAAAAAAAAATTAGGCTTGGGGGATAGTTCTGTGGAAAAGCACGTGATTAGCTTGTGAGAGTTATTTGGTTCAGTTTCCTGTAAGCTCCTTGCAAAAGAAAAATTAAAATTATTACAAATGAATATGCAATTAAAGCATTATGATGAATTACATAAATATTTTCATTTGAAAATATCTGTAATTTGTATCACAAAGACACTGATCAAAATTTAACTGAAATACCTGCTTACTACATGGGTTTTATCATAGTCATTGACACTTTACAACTTACCTTCCACATGCTATCTGGGTCACTCTATTTCCAATGAATTCAGTCACCAAGCGGGGTCTTAGTTCATTCTCTGTTGAATTGTGACCAAGCTGCCCATATTTTCCAGCACCAAAAGTGAACACAAGACCGTCCTAAGGGAAGTGAACTTCTTATCAAATGCTACAAAAATGCCACACACAAGTCACTTTCACTGATGCCTCTGCATCAGTAACTAGGTAGCAAAAGTAGCAGGGAAGGAAAGCTCCCAGGTTACCAGGATGGCCTCACATGTGGAAGGGAGGACTCTCTCTTCTGGAAAACACTAACTCCCCACACAAAAGGTTCTCGCACAAGTACAAAGGGGACAGGGGCACACCCACCTGTGTGAGGAGAGCAGTGTGAGTACCACCACAAGCCAGAAACTCAACCTTCTGATTGTCTGGTATGTCAACAAAGACAGGACAATCTGTATCTGTGCAGGGAAAGAACAGCTCAAGTGATCAAAAAGAAAGGCTGAGTTTCACACCAGAGTCACCTAGACAGCTGCCTGTCAACCTAGCAACAGTTTCCATCCCATTCTGACAACAAAGCTCAAAGTTGGCATACTTAGGCCCAAGTACCAGGGATAAAGGTGGGAGAGGAGGGTAAAGAAGTCAAAGGGTCAAACCTAAGGACCCCCAACCTGAAAAAGGTTTAGGCCCAAGGCTCATGCTTTTTTTTCCCAACAGATACCTTCAACTGGACCATCTCTGATATTTCCAATTCCTGACTCATACTATCTTTTCTTTATGTATATCTTCCTCACAGTCACATAGTCAGCAAAATAGTTTAACCCTACCTTTTACTCTTATGTATGCATATTTAACTAACACTGACTTACAGGTTATCTTACATAATTAGATCAGACATTATCAGAAGATATACAGTATTTAGGGTCAGCCAAATAGCTCAGTGGATTAAAGTGCCTGCTTAGGCAGACACAGGGGCCTGGGAGTCCGATGTCCTGCCCTGCCGGGGCGGGCCCCGCTTCCAGGGCACACTGAGACAGCCATTGAGACTAGGTATGGTATTGCATGCCTATAATCCCAGTACTTGGGAGGCTGTAAACAGGAGGATCACTGAGAGTCCAATCTATGCAGTGAGACCCTGTACACACTGTCCTAAAATACAAAAAAAAAAAAAAAAAGATATATTCTGTTTCAACAGTGACCCAAGTTAAAATGTAATTACCATATCCAGGTAAAACATTAGATTTTGGTACACAGGAGTAGCCCATTAAGTTGTCCTATGCCATGAGAAATTTTGCTATACGCCTTATAGAAATAACTCAAAATGGGAATCACATGGTTTTGTCTATGCGTAAAGAAGCATAATTAATACTGTGTATAATAAGATCAGGCTATGTTGAGTTCCTAAGCAGAATTTTCATACTCTTTTGTAATAACAAAGATAACTTGGGAGTAATTTCTTTTAAACTTGTCACTTTCAAGAAAAAAATAATCAGGCCTAGAGAAAAGTCAATGACAGGCAAGACTCTGAAACAAGTAAACTACACAGTGGGAAACAAGATCCGGTGCTCTGATCCCTAATCCTTTTCCATCTCACACATATAAAGGGTTAACAGAGTTTTGTGCCTTAACTGTGGAAAATTATAAAAACCCCTTGTGCTTCCTGTTATCTGCTCTAAGAAATGTATTCTCTCTTTCGGCTCAAGGCTGTTCAACAATAAATAACTTTCTTTTCAAGGCAGCAAGCTAACACAAACTCCCTCCCCAACCATCTCCTGTAAAGTAGTCAGCTTAAGATGTATCTTGTAAAAATATGCACTTATTACTAAGCTGTGACCTTTTAGTTATGAACCGTTTGCAGCTGTGTCAAATGAATGTATCTTCTGTTGTTCTGTACTAGATAACAAATTTGCTTACCAAACTGGACTGGATGTGATTTCTGTTATAAATACCCCCTTGCTACCTACATTTGAGGCTGATCAGCCTTCTCCTGCAAGAGAAGTGGCTGATGGACCTGAGCTCAGTAAATAAAAGGCTCTATTCAAATATTATCTGGCTGATCTGGTTCCTATGTAGAGTTGGCCCATAATAACACAGAACAGAAACCTGGCTCAATCCTAAGAACAGTGCAAAGGGAAGTGAGGATCTGAACCATTTATAGAGAGGTCTACACTCCATTCACCTCAAATCTAACCAGTACAGTCACAGGTAATAGGAATCTGAAAATATGTTCCGTACTCTTGGTGTGGCCCAGACCCAGTTGTCCACAGTCATTTTTCCCCCATGAGTAGACATTTCCAGACAAGGATAAGGCCATGCTGTGGGCTTCTCCTGCTGAAATCTGCACCAAGGGGACTCCTGCAATGCTCTGCACAGGCTGTGGTATCGGGATTGTGGGAAACCTTCTTCCAACTCCAAGCTGTCCATGGACGTTCTGTCCCCAGGCAAACAGCTCACCACCTTGATGCAAGCAGAGAAAGAGCTGTCTTACTAAATTTGGCAGGATCATTATTTAGTCCTAGTCTCCAAAACTAGTCAAAGAGGCATTCAGTAATTAAACAAATTTAAATAGTCTTCTAAAAAACTAAATTTCAAATGCAGCAGAAATGACAAGGTATGTATACTGCATGGTAGAAGTCACTAATTTCTCACCCTCATGTCGGGGTAACAGTGAGGCCACCTGAATTAACATCTGCTAATCAGAATCAAGAAATAGAAGGGGTGAATGAAAGATAAGGTGACTAAATTAAAAAAAAATTTTTTCACTGGAAAACATACATTACCAAGAATGATGAGATAAATATGTTCAAAGGGTGTGGGAGTATTTTGGAGGGGATTAATGGCAGTGCACCTCACTGTAGTAAAGTTTTTAATTTAAACTTTCATCAATTTGTTGATCACACTGTGTTGACCAATCATTTAAGGCAACTTCTGTATTTTAAATTGATTCAGCACACTGTGGCCCCATGGCAATGCAACTGAAGACACTTATGTAGAGGACTTCCAGAATGTGGTAGGAGCAATAGGCTAAGGGAGGAAGACTATTTTGACAGAAATTATTGGCAATTTATCTTTCAATTTAATAAATTTTAAAAAGTCAAATGTCTGCCATATTTGTTGATCACACCTGGCACTTATGTAAAAAAAAATCTGTATGTTAAGGCCATAAAAATCAAATACATAGTACCTCTGAGAAAATAAAATCTAAAACTAGTGTTTTCTCTACCCTTTTTCCTTTCTTACAGCTAAAGATCTTGAATAAGTTAGTTAACAATCTACTTGAAGGTATGGTGGTGCTCATCTGTAATCCCAGTTACTGAGGATGCTAAGGAGAATCCTACTGCTCACAAGGCCAAAACCTGCCTGCAACGTAGTGAGACGCCATCTCAGTACCAAAACAGCTGCTTCTTCTATTAATTGAATACATGCAGCATATTTTTCCACAATGTTTGCAAATGTTATCCTAGATTAGCCAATATCTAAAGGAGTCCAAAAATATGTATTAGAGAATCAAGTGTTTATTGAGAACTTTTTTGTAATATGCTGTGCAGGATATGATTGTGGTAGTGAGACTCTCCTTCAAACACAATGATCAAAACTCTTATAAGCCATGAAAGAGAAGATTTGAAAATGACTAATTCCCTTTCTGCACTTTCATCTCTTCTTTCTGATTTATACATGTTTGTTTTCTGAGAAGAATTACATTATGTTATACAGAGAAATCTGTAACTTGTCTCATACTTCAACCTGAGTAGCTGGATTTACAGGTTTGAACCTTTCTGATCAGCAGATTTAGCAAATCCTGGATTTAGCAAATTAGCTAAATTTAGCAGATTTAGTAAATCCCTATCCCTCACACCACCAGAACCTAGACTTCATGAAGACAGGGTAAGTCTGTCTCATCTTCCCTCTTTTTTTTTGTATTTTAGGAAAGGGTCTATAGGGTGTTTCGGGTCTCATTTCTAGATCAGACTCTAGTGATCCTCCTGTTTACAGCTTCCCAAGTACTGGGATTCTAGGTGTGTGCCACCATGCCCAGTCTCAGTGGCCCTCTCAGTGTGTCCCAGGGGTAGGCTGGCACAGTAGGCCTGGGGATCAAACCTCTGGCCCCTGCACCTGCTTGCAGGTGCTTTAATCCACTGAGCTATTTGGCCAGCCTCGTCTCATCTTCCTTATCTCCCCTAGAATATACTTAATATAAACAATCTGTTCACCAGTGACCAAGGTTTTCAGCTCAGGTTCATATCCTATGCCTCAACAGAGCCTTCAGGTCAAATGCTTTATCATTTACTTCCCTCCAATCTTGGTTTCCATTTAACTTATCTACATGTTTCTATATATTTAAAAAAAATATTACCTGAAGCTTGATGAATTTCCCTCAGTCATTGTGCTACTTTAATTATTCCTTTCACAGTCAAGTTCCTTTAGGATGTAATCTATATTGACTGCTTCCATTTCATCCTCTAGAGTGTCTGACAGGAAATACACCTGAGGCTTGCAGAGCAAAACTAGTGGATGTTGAAACACTCCCAGGAAGCTGGAAGAGTGCCACGAAAAAGGGGAACTTTGAAAATGGGTGGTCTGGGCCCGGACCAAATTCTGCAAAAAAGTGGTTCTGAACTGAGCATGGTAGTATGTGTCTGGAAAATAAGCTATTTGGAGGCTGAGGCAGGAAGCTTTGGAGTTCAAAGCCAACATGAGCAACACAGTTAGAAACGCTTCAAACTAAAAAGAAAACCAAATAGAACACCCCACCATGATTTTGACTGCTTATAAAACTCTCACTGCTTCTTATGTAAAAAATAAAAGCAGGAAACTAAATATAGGAATAATAACTTTATTTTTTTTGGGGGGGTATTCAAACTTAAAAATATTTATTACAATAAAAGGCACATTGTCATTAATCCATCTCAAAATACTCCCCTTCACTTAACACACTTTGGATCGCTCGGAATAATAACTTTAGAAACCTAAAGATTTTATGCACCCAATAATTCTCATTTTTATCTCTGTCAAGAACATTGGTTCTAAAAAATAATTAGTTACACCAAATAACCACTAGGAAGATAGTATTCAATGTGTTAATTATTGGAATTGTCCTACCAATTTGATTTGAAACTGTCTCATTGCTATTTATTTCTCAATAAAATTATGGAAAAAAAATAATTAGTACTCCAGGAAAGTACCTTTGGAGAGTGCAAGAGAATGATAATCTCCACACGCAACATGAATTATATTTTTTTCTTGTAAAATGCTTTGAAACCTGATGAAAGAAAGTATACTTCATGTCAATCACCATATTAAAGTCAAAACATGGATTTGGAACTACATATGTAATTAGCAATGAAATGCAAAAAGAACCTTTAAATTACCACATATATAATTATGAAAACATCCATTTTAATTGTTTTTACAACACAGCATCAAACAACTATAGTAAGATCATTTAAAAATGCTCTAACTCAAATAATTGTATGATGAAAAAATACATATAAGTTGATAATATGTTCTACTTCATACGATCTACTAAGAGAAAGTCTCATATATCACCCCAAGATTATGTATTCCCCTGCCTAGGATGAACACTGTTATTTCTGGAAACAATGGGTAGAATTGCTTTAAGTTCAAATAAAGGATAGACCTTTTGGCACTAGTCAAATTAACAGATCATTTTATTTAAACACTTAAAGTACACACCAGCCTTAGCACATGGACTGGTTTGTGCTGTACTGATGGACCTCACCAGTACGGGAAAATTCATCACTTCAGACTTTGCTTAATGAAACAGGGGACAGGACTCAAACATGGTAACATCTTCCTACACAAACTACTACTATCCTTCAGATGAAATTAAGTCATATCTAATGAAAGAGAAAAGCAATACTCACCTTGCAGGTTCTCCGCTGTAGCTATACTCAAAGATTTTTCCATCTGAGGACAGCACCAGCATGTGCTCTGCTCCTTGGTCCATGGAATGAATCTTCATCTTTTTCCCTAACTTCAGGTACTCTGCAGAGCAAATCCAACCAGGAGCTCATCACTCTGATTATTACCTACTATTGTCATAGGTTTGCTATGATAACATACCTCAAGTAGCTGGAAAAAGGTTCAGTTAGTCAATCTCTGAAGTAACAGTGTCTTCTCTTTAAGAGAATTCAAAAATGTACAGCAAATAAGTAATAAACAATTGTCTTACCTATGGACTTTAATTTGGAAAGCAATGATTTCTTTAAGTGAAAAAGACCCTTAAAACAGCCAACTAAGTAGTATCTGATTTTAAGTCATTTGTTAGTAGGTTGAGACAAAGATTCTTGAGTTCAAAAGACCTATGTAAAACTCTATTAAAAAGCACAATTTTGGGGCCCGGGGAGATGGCTCAGTGGAATAAGTGCTTCCCTGGCAAGCATGAGGGCCTGAGTTCAATCCCCAGTCGCCCCCCCCCCCCCGAAAAGCACAATTTTAGGACAACACAAACATTTGAAGGACAAATATATTGTGTATTCTAAACACATACTCCGTTCAGAATAAAACAAACAATAAGGAAGACCTCAAGACTACTTTAAATAGAAGCTGATGTTTGCGCTAATTAATAGAAAGGAAGAACTATGCTTGGGAGACCATTTTTAAAGAAGATGTAAAGAATTTTTACTGACATTATTGCATATTTGGCTTTCTAAAAAATTAGATTTAAAACAATTCATCAGTACTTAATTTCAATTTATTCATAAAATTTAAACTAGCATAATTTGGGGATCTTGTTTCATTCTTCAGTTCTAAGGAAATGTAATTTATTCATGTAAAAACCTCATGGCACAAACTAGATTACAAATAATAGTAGAACAACAACAAAAACAACAACCAAACAAACCACAGTTTGGTGAGAAGATATGTGCTGCCTATAACCAGATTTTGTTGGTTTGGTTTTGTTTTTCAAATCAGAGAAATTATTCAAGAAAACATATACAAAAAAATATAAACTTAGATTCCTTCCTTAAAATAATTTTCAATTATAACATTTAAACTTAAAAATAAAACATTAGAAAATATTAGAAACACTGCAAGTATGAGCACATTTTAAAAATCTTGCAGTGTGAACACCTTCCTAATTTAACACAAAATCCATTAAAATGAAAAAAGTGAGACTATTAAAAAGTTTAAATTTTGCAAAGAAAGCAATATATGAACAACAACTGTAAGAATGAGAAAAATACAACATGCTTGACAGGCAAACGGTTACTTTTACTCAAAATTCAGATAACTTTCAAATAAAGTGATTAATAACTCAAAAATTTTATAAGCCAGGAGGAATTATGAAGGAGCACTTTGTGGAAAAAAAAATATAAATGATCAACAGGAACTGAAAGACGCTCAAAATCACTCAAATGCCCAATAGTGAAATAATCATTCTCTTTTTTAAAATTTTTACTTATTTATTTTTTAACCATTTTCTTCCACGATGAGCAAAACGCCAGAGATTCACAGCGGGCATTTACCTCGCCCTCTGTAAAATCGGAATCTCAGCAGCTAACATTCTGGGGGATAAGGAGCTGGGGGAAGAGCCACAGAAAGGCAAGGTGAGGTTATCGGTGAGAAAGATAACCAAGTTTGCTAAAATCTCACATATTCGGCGCAGCTTTTCTTTTCCCCCCTCCTTTCTTTTTTTCCCCTTTTTATTCTGTTGCGGGCCAGCACACCCCGGTCTCTCCGAGGTTCTGCTTGGGGCCAGGCGCCCCCTGAAGTTCCCCGAGGCCTCCGCCCGACCGCGGGTTCCACCGCGCCCCTCGCCCGGCCCGGTCGGCGCGTTCCAGA